CGGGGATGGCCCCGCCGCGCCGGCCCGCGCCGCCGCCCTCAAGAAGAGGGGCTACGACATCACCCGCAACCCGCATCTCAACAAGGTAGCAGCAGAGCCCAGTGCTGGGGGTGGCAGCAGGGCCGGGAAGAGCCGATGTGGGTGTCCCCACCCTGCGGGATTCATCCCAGCAGCGCAAGAGAACCAGGTCCCTTTGGCAGCGGTCGCCCCCAGGACCCTTCCCGGGGGCTGCTTGCAAGATGGAAATGCCACCGGGCTAGTAGTGACAGCTCCCTTTTTTGAAGGGCCTTTGCAGAGCAGGGCTGAGCAAGCAGCAGCACAGGGGCACAGATTTAAATCCCCGGCCCGCGCGGGTGGGTTCTGGCTGTTTGCATCTAGCCCCTTTTCATCTGGGACCGGTGTGCGGGTGCTTGCCTCGAGGAAGCGCTCAGAGGCCTGGGTGCTTGGGGGTCTGTTCTGCAGCCCCGAGAGGTAAACAACACCCCGTGTCCAAACTCTCTGTGCTTAATTAAAAAAAAATGAGGGAAGGAAGAGTTTGGTATCTTGCTTGATGAAAACCCCACCATGGATAATAAGGATGTTTTGAAAGCTGTGTTTAGAGGTGAAACTGGCTTTTTTTATTTATTTCTTTGCGCTAAAAAGAGGAAGTGAGTTTGGGTTGGTTTTGTTTTTAAGCTTCTCTCTGCTGGGTCCATAGTAACCTCTGTTTTATGTCCTAAAAATCACACTTCCTATGGGAAAGATTTTTTTTTAATTCTCAGTATTGTTCGGACTCCAGGGTAGACTGGCTTCTTGCTGCTCTGGACCAAATTCCCAAGGAGCACAAAAAGCACCCCAAATAGTATTGTATTTATGAATAGTACAGTTCCTCATCCTCCTTTCTGCCTCCTGAATACAAACATCAGAGCAACACGTAAATTGGAGGATAATATAAATGTATACAGTCAGACCCCCGGTTACACAGTTTCGAGTTGTACTGATTCACGTATACACGCTTTATATAAAGTGACCTTGTTTCAACTTATGTGATACCCTGCCTCACATTTACACTGTTTGCGGTAGAGCGGTTGTTAGTTTGGAGTCTGCTTACATAGCGTTAGCATCACTCGTCATCTCCTCCGAAATTGTCCATCATTTTTGGTTACGTTAACCCCGAATATTTGTGAAAATAGCATCAAAGAAAGCCCTTGATGTTGTGCCCAAAAGAGCACATAAGTCTATCACCCTGACCCAGAAAATAGAAATCCTTGATAAATTCAGAGAAGGCAATAGTGCTGCGTCGATCGCTCGCCAGTAGTTTAAGTGAATTGACTGTGCATACCATTAAAAAAAGTGAGTGAGCAAAAAATTAGAGACTGTGTGAAAACGACAACCCCTGTGAGTTGGAGAGTGTCGTTGTTGACTTAAATTCCTCATTTAGATAAGGTTGAGAAACTCCTTAATCTTTGGATCAATGAAAGGACCAATACAAAAGGAGCAGGCGTTGACGGCGCGGCAGTTAGGGCTAAAGCTTTGTCTCTGTATGAGCACATAGCCAGGAGTAAAGGTTTTAATAAGACTATTAATTCCATTATTTTGTGTTTATATATCCTTTTATTGTGAAATAATGTTATCAAATCTTGGTCCCAGGTCCCTATCCCCCTGTTTTCCATTGTCTTAATGCCTTGAGTTACACGGTTTCATCTTACACGGTGTTTTTCAGGAACATATCCCCCGCATAATTGGGGTCCGACTGTATATAGGCTTTGGGAATTTGGGGTTGAAATCTTATGCTGATATTCTGACAGACTACTCCAGGTTATCGGATATCTTATAAATGTGCCTACTCTCGTCTTGGGTTATGGGTGCCTTTGTTGCTGTTGTCCTCATTGAGTGTTATCCATGTGTTGTCAGTGCTGAAGTCTCAGGAGCTGTGGTGCCAGCAAAATTCGCAGCCAGGAAATCCCAACACCGGTCTTGTCTTAAAGAACGACTGCAGGCTCAGTTCGGTGGCAAAGATTCAGCCAGGTTTATTGTCTACCAGCACAGCCTTAACATGGTTTGACCTAACAAGTACATCAGACCAGGAGCTAAGGCATTTGCACCTGTGACAAAGTAGTTGCCACTATGCAGGCAAAGTTTTCATGTTTTCCAATTCTCCTTTTATACAATGAACAAAACAAATGATGTATTACTTTCCATCTGTATGTTGAACATCTCAAAACGTCTTGTACCGGGGGCTAGTTTCACTTCTGACCTGGGTGTTTCAGCCTTATCCCAGTACTGGGCTGTCCTGCCTTGTACCACCATGTCTCTGTCCCATCTCTTGCCATGTAAGCCTGCCAAGGTTTTTTTTTAACGTGAGAAGTTCGTGCATCCATCCGGCTTGCTGCTGAGGCCTGGCCAAAGCTTTAGTATAGCCTTTGTGTCAGCAGCATATATTGATCCAGCAAGACTTGCACCTAAAGTGAATAAACTGGACAACAGCTAGGGGTCTGAACACTTGGGAAGTTGATTATAATTATCTCTGGTAACTACCTGTTGCCTTTTGTCTTGAACTTTAGGTTTCAAACTCCTTGGGGCAAGGATTATCTTTGATCTTTTCTTATCTTTTTATACTGCTCAGGCCCTATTGCAGCGGTTGGGACCTTTACGTTCCACTTCATGTACAAATAATGGTGGCTCCCTTGATGCATCAGACTGCTACACCACAGTGCATCATCTGTTGTAGTGTGAGGCTACTATACTATGCCATCAAACAATTCAGAACCACCTGTAAGGCTGGGGAGAGAATGAAAATGTATCAGTTATCCATGAAAATCATTGAATTGTTGGAGCTGAAGTGCTTTGGTTCTATTTTTTTTCTTCACTGTCTTGTCAGCTAGCATTGTCCAAAGATATCTTATCAAGAGAAAGATATCTGGTGTTTCTACTGCCATCACGTATATCATTTATTACTGGAAAATTAGGACCTTCACCTTTGAATAGTGAAGCGGGTCAAAGTGATGCAATAATATATTGCTTCAAATTGGAATGGTTCAGGTAATTACTGCAAGTCATCAATCTCTTATGCTTCTTGAAAACCTGAGCCTGCTTCTGATGAAGTCAAGAGCAAGGCTTCCTCTTTGATTCCTTAAGCAGCAAGTCTTTTTGTTTTCCCAAGGGCCTACTTATAGATTTCATAGATTTTAGGGTCAGAAGGGACCTATTAGATCATCAAGTCCGACCTCCTGCCCTGGGCGGGAAAGAGAACTGGGGTCACCTGACCTCAGCCAGGTGTCTGTCCAATTTTCTCTTAAATACCTCCAGGGAAGGGGACAGCACCACCTCCCTTGGAAGCATAGTCCATATTTTGGCAACCCTTGCTGTAAAGAATTGTTTTCTGATGTCCAATCTAAATTTGCTGTCCTTCAGTTTGTAGCCATTGTTTCTAGTTACCCCGATGGGCACCCTGATAAACATCGTATCCTCTATTTCCTGCTGCACCCCCCACCCCGATGAGTTTGTAGACAGCCACAAGATCACCTCTCAGCATCCTCTTGTGTTGTCTCATTTTTGTTCTCTTTCTTCCTTGATGGCATTAAAGACCCAACAGAACTAGGATGCAAGCACAGGAAGGAGAGAAACCATGTTTTTGTCACTGGTGAAATGTGTCACATGTATCATATTTCATTGGATCCATAAAGATCTCCCCTTCAAGTTTGTGTATAAAGAGGGATGTTTGCTGGGATTCAGGTTGCAAGCTTCTGCCCCAGATAGATGTAGAACGGTGTTTATATGGCCCTTTTTAATGTGGTATCTGAACACCTCACAGTCCTCAATGCAGTCATCCACACAATACCCCAGAGAGGTAGGGATACCTGCTAATTGTAATCAGTAGTTTAGCTTGCATGTCAGCATGGGCTCTCTAAGCTATTTTGGTAGCAGTGCTTGGCAATACGCTAAGCAGCTCAGAACAGACTTCTGATTCCTTACCGGATGTAACAGAGCAATGAGCAATTAATGGTCCTTTTAACAGGAAGGAGCCTGCTGTCCATGATCTTTCTGTGGCAGCCTTTAGAGCTCACTGCTGCCTGACTATTGATGTGTAGAGTATGATGTACAAAACCCATCTGTTTTTCCAAATCTTTCCAAGAAAAGGTGAATGATAAATACACTGAGGACATGGCTTCCTTGCTATGTTTTTCTTCCATTGGCTTTTGCTGACTAAGTGAGACTACCGGATGAATAAGTTACAAAAATTTTATTCCTAAATATTGGTGAAGAATGGAATTTGGCGATTACACCAGCTCTCTGGGAAGGGTTTGTAATTAATTTGCCTCCATTTCTCTAATCATTGTGATTTATATAACAGGTTGGTGTGTTGTTGTACGTCCAGCTTTGCTTGCTGAGACATACTGCAATATCTTCCTGAAAGCACAAAGCAGAGATGGTCCGGTGTGTTGAATGGGAGGATGAGATTCATGAGATCTAGGATTTATTACCAGTTCTCTGACAGGCATGGTGAAAGTCACGTGGAAGGAAACTTTGCAGATTGTTTCCTGTGGGTACTCTAAAAAGATTTTAATGCACAGTCTTTAATGCTTTACCGGAGGAAGAACTTTCAAAGAAAAATTTGGTTACTGCCTAGCTTTTGAAGAGCAGTGTTAGAGGGGTATAACCAAGCTGCTGTGATTTTCAAAATCTTACTTCTTATAGGATCCTGTACACTATTCTTCCTCTTTCTAAATATTACCACTTTTCTCCCTTGTTCAAAGTTACACAAGATGCTTTAACAGTCTTCTCCTGGGGCACTTAACAGCCTAGAGAGGTAAAAAAAATGAGGCAGCCACCCTTAATTTGACAGAAAGATCTCACAAATAGATGGAGAGGAAGTGGTAAGAATTAGTTCCTAGATTTTAGGAAGTGCTGTTTAAAGCAGCTGTTCACTGCCAGTACTTGAAATGTTGTAGAAATGAAACATGAAGCAGCGTAAGGCCTAGTGTCTGCCCACAACTGCTAATGCTTTCAAAAGATCAGTCAGCACACAGACCTCCATGTGTGCTGCTATCTAGGGAATCGCATGACAGTTTGGCTGCTCAAGAGATTTAATAAGAAGTTTGACAG